CAAAGCTTGATAAATTAGATGTACAAGATGAGTAAGTTGATTTACGGTTGAATCACCTGGCCTAAACCCGGATTGATATTTGTACAAAAAATTAATATCAATTAAATACTCGTAAAGACGTAAAAACAACCTTTTCACATAGTTTTGATAAAGAAGATAAAAGTGAAACTGGTCGATAATTTATTTTCARCTGGCGATTATCTTTTTTAAATAGGGGAATGACGTTTGCACGTTTCCACTCCTTGGGATATTTACCTAGTGTAAACGACAAATTAATAAAACCAGTAAAGAAGTCATGGATACCATCAGCATAAAGTTTTATAATTCTATTACCGATGCCATCATGCCCACACGCTTTGGAAATATCAACACTTTTCATTAAATTCAAAACTTCATCTTTCATTGCTATAACATTGGAAATCGAAACACCCGCCAAAAAAGGCGATAATGAAAGTGGTAAACTATCAGAATCTGTTAGTGATGTCTGGAAAACAAAAAAATCGTTAAACAGACAGGCCTTGGCCTTAGGATCAACACTGAATAGGAACCTCATCTTCCACTATAGTTGGAATTGAAGAGGCTGTGCTAGTTATGGTACATTGGTGGGTTTATTTGCGAGTATTAACGTTATTAGTTTTAGAAGTGTCTGGTATTCAGTAATATACGCTTTTTGTGGTCGTCATTCTCTCCATTCCTCATATGGAGCCTAAGTAGACTGCCGCCGGGGGCAATAGACCTGCTCGGCTCAGGCGTAATGTTTTCCCAATTCAGACCACCTGTCATTCTACGTGTTTTTAAGTGTCTGTGATACCGTTTGCATCAGACTTCATTACGCACTTTATATAATTTGAACTTTTCATCTTTTACATTTTTACATACTAGTAATAATGATGTTCAATTTTCAGTAACGAGCTGGTTTCGATATTCAATCTCCAAATTCTCTTTTTGCATATTATTGTCAAAATATCTTATTTATCAGGCAGGACCTTCTCGAAAATCACATTTATAAGTGAAGAAGCTTCCTGTTAAAAGATGAATGTAAATAAATAACTAAATACGTCTATAACTACTTCATTACTCTCTACTTCATTATATACACACCGAACGCATAATTTATTACTACTATAACTACAATTGATTGGCAACCCACCTTTCTACCAATTGCAAGCTTCTTTAGAAACTCATGTCAGCTATACCAAACGACACCTACACCAGCGCATAGAGGAACACATCGTCAGCCGTTGGTAAACACTCATGTTGACTTTCATGATTGCTTTGTTGTTCTGAAAATGTGCCGTTCGAAGTTGATTGTTTAATTTGATTCTTATTTATACGTAAAATCAAGCCATCTCTTAGCAAGCAATCAGACCCTGTACGTTACAAGGTCTTTGTATAATTAACTATGGTTAAACTTAACAACATACTAGTAGACTCTGTACGTATTCAAGCATGAGTTTCCTTAAGACACTATTTGTATTTAAAATTCAAAACCATCCAGTGAGACGTCGAAACGTCAAATCTCTTCGATTATTCTAATTGTGAATTGTCTTAATAAGGGTTTATTACTAAATATTTCGTTACTCATTTCTTTATTTTGCTTTCATTAGGAGGTGGAGATGGTACTGAAAGTGGAAGTGAAGATGGAAATAGAACAACGGCAAGTAAGTATATTTTGGATATTCCATGCATAATTCCAGCCTAAGCCTGAGTAAATGAGTCTGTAATCACTGAAGAAACAGCGGTAATTCTAGGAACTCGAAAAGGGACTATTTGTAAGAAATTGTTCTTACATTTAAAAATGTGTAGTTGAGTGCCTTACGTGCATCAGTTGCTGAGGACAGTAGAGTGTGATCCAGGATGATATTGGCGTCTTTGTTGTGCAAAGTTTGTATCGATTGCATCAACGTTATGGTGGCTTTATCCCCACATAATATCCCCATCATCAAAGAGCGGTAGAACTAAGCTATTGAAGAAGTCTAGCAAACAGTGGGAAAAGATGTGTGATTCCCTTTAGGAGACCAAGCGTTTTTTGATTTTGGTTAACTGTTTTTCGATGTGAGCTGTCGAAGACATGTTACTAGAAAAACCGCACCAAGTTACTTACAATCTTCTACTCTTTCTACCTTTTTCGAGTGTACTTGGATGGATATGGTTGAGATGGTGTTGGTTTTCCTTTTGCTTGCAAACACCATGATTTAAGTTTTAGAGGAGTTTAACGTTACTGGATCTCTGCATCAGAAATTGAGGTGTTCAGCCAGTTCTCTGACAAGGTTAGCGAATCTAAGCTTTTAGAATTTCATATTGCTATTAAGAGTTTCAGTTCTTCTAGTTTACCAAGATAACTACGTACATTAAGGTGTGCTATGAATAATCCTCTCGCTTTAAATCCTTGTCTGTACTGGTGAGCAATTTTTTTATTATCATCTTAAATTGGTGATTCTTTTTAGCTACTCGTAAAGAACTGAATGAAGCGAATGAAGTGTAACGATGTGTAACCAGTGTGTCCTGAAATGCAGTTATATTACGATATCTCGAAACAGGTTGTAGAAATTTTGTTTGCTCACCAGTATATTTCACCATGGGAATCAAGATGTTCATTCATTTGCTCTCAGTGAGTTAATCAGCACGTGATTACTGAGCTGCAAAGGGCCTATTGTTGAACTCAACACGGCGGGTGATGATCGCATACCAAATACTAGTCGTGAAAATCGATATTCAATATCACTGTTCAAATCAAGCGGGTTCTTGTGCCATAAGAAGCGAAGCATGTCTGTTAGTGCTAGATTCGAATTAACACAATTTTCCCGTTACGCATTTTTTGCCTTTGCATTCATATGTACATAATTAATAATAAGTTCATTTCAGTTCATTTACGTATCGCGCTGATTCTAAAAATAGCTTAAAGATTTGGACAATGATTGCTTTCTTCTTAACCGCTACGAGGATTATAYGAACCGATTTTATTTTTACTTAAAGTTACAATAATAACCCATGTAAACTAAGATCAACTGTGATCAGATGTGAAAATTATCTGCTGAAAGTGAACTTGTAAGTTTGTTTGTCCGAATTTCGCCTATGTCTTCGTTTTTATGACGTCACGGTTGCGCTGCGCTATTTAACCTCTATTTAACCGTCTTATTAGCTATACATCGTTTTGTAAGTTGATCTTCTGAATCATCTCCGGTCACTAAGTCATCCACGTACGAATATTTGCTTAACAGTTCTACGAGTTCCGGTTATTGATGGCCGTACGGTTGTAAATGATGTAGAATAGGCTCTTTGCAGTTAATGGTCACGTGTCTGTACTAGTGAGCAATTTTTTAAATTTGTTTTTTATTTTAAATTGGTGATTCTATTTAGCTGCTTGTAAAAAACTGAATGAAACGAATTGTAACTAACTGTGTTACGAAAGTTTTATTACGTCCTCTCGAAACAGGTTGTAGAATTTTGCTCTCCAGTATATTTCACCCATGGGAATCAAGGTGTTCATTCCTTTGCTCCCAGTAAATTAATCAGCACGTGATTACCAAGCTGCAAAGGGCCTTGAAAACAGCGGTATTTGTTTTTACCATAACGAGTTGATTTTGTTTGTAACCAGGCCTGCATGCCAAAACTCAAAATTTGTTAGCATTGAGCGCGTGCTTATCTGCAATGCGGCGTCGCGCAAAAGCATAAACAGACTTCAGGGAAAACCTCTCATTTGGCACAACTAAAAGGAAGAAGATGATTTTCAAAATGAAACTATAGAATTCACGAGCGAAAAATAAATGGTGATAACTTCACATGTAAATATACTACATACGATATTCTATTCAGTTTTGCATATCATCTTCAAATAATGTTCAAAACCACCCAAACAAGCTTGAATTCAGAAGTCCCATGTCATTCCATTTTTAAACTAAATTCTAAATCACAGTTTGTCTCGTTTGAATCGGTTCTTCGATTCAACGAGATCAAGCTCTATAGCGCGAACTAAAACTTAGCTACCCATCACTTTCAACCAAAACCAAAGCATATTTCAGAGAAGTGGTTTCCGATTATAAAACAACCCAAACTTGTCAGAGCAGCTCAAATTGCTCTTCTAGGAGAACCGGAAGCTAACTATAAGGTTACGAAATTGATAATATAAAGATACTTAAGCTTCAAAATAACGAGTTACTGTAAAGGTGGCTATCAGACTTGATAGGCAATGTAAAACCCACATCAAATTTGAAAAAAAGAAAATTGTAATTTATTTATATATATATTCTAGCCATCACATCTTTTAATTCAATTTTATGCCATATTCAATGTTAATTTTTTAGACTTGTTCCACATATTATTTGATTTTTTTTTTTGGCATAGAAAAACATAGACAGTACCCTTCCCCGATTAGACCAACAGTGAGGCGCTCATTTTTTTTTCCTTCACAGGCTAACGCTAACAAGTTTTGCATGTTCAATTTGATCTGATTGGCCCATTGCCTCTGAAGGAATCAGCTAGCTTGTGTATAGCGTTGACTATTCTTTCACGGGCGAAGTAAAGTCACTCTAGTATTATATCTAATTTAGATGTAGAATGTAGATTGTAGTTTTTAATGTTTCTTTTCTTTGTTATCTTTTAGCATCTACTCCATCTTCAGAACCACCGTGTGATACAACATGTATTGTTATCATTATTGTAGTTATCGTCATTTTGATTTTGGTCATTATTGTGGCCGTTTACTGTTATAAAAAGAAACAAAAATTAAGGTTAGAAAGAGCACGAGAGGGAAACGAAAGCAAGAAGGGCAGCCTGAACTGACTTATGTTTTAGGACTTTGGTTGTCAAAAATTAGCAACTTGCACCTTTCTTAGTCCTACATTAAGGAATTTGAGCTTCATAGGGTTCGTGCTACTCCTTGAAATCCTTGAAAAGTCCTTGAATTAAAACCACGTTTTTAAGGGCACTTGAAAAGCCCTTGAAAATAGAGAAAACGCCAAAACTCCTGGAATACTCCTTGAATTTAATGCAAACTTAATGCTATTTCTAACTTTCCTTTTAAAATATATAACGATTAAAATTGATTGAAGAGTTTTCGTAATTTCGTAAATAGCCTACTTGAATATCTGGGTACTTCTGGTAAGAATGCGCATATTAAAGACCTATTTATCTAATACCCCATTCACACCAAGGCTTAAACATGTTTTAAAGTGGTTTAACTAAACAGGTTTGGAAAACTATCTACGAACATTGCACAATATTTGGTAAAATCAGTAAACTATCCTTTGTCTTGCTCTGACAATATTTTAGAAAGTTTCATTATATTGTAGGTTTCTATAATGAAAACATAGTTTAACTAAACACGTTTAGGTGTGAATGGGGTATCAGCTAGTGGCCCCGACTGAATTAGCTGCACTTTTACATTGAATCAATGTTTAAACCACGTTCTAATACAAAATACTTTGTCCTTGAAAATCGACTTTTTGAGCTTGAAAAGTGCTTAAAAATTCCTTGAATTTTGTAACGAAAAAGTAGCACGAACCCTGGGCCCCTCACTATTTTATGAGGGTGTACTAATGTGTATTAAGTTAATTTCTGTTTCATAGGTGTATTGATTTTACTCTATCTTCCTTCTTGTTTTGCCAATTCGTTGGCGACAAATTGAAAAAGAAATTCATAATCATTACTTTTACTTGAGAACACGTTAGAGATTAATGGAATAATAAACGTTGTTTGCATTTGCCAAATTATAGAGATTGTAGTATATTCATAATAATAGTGATTGTTGGTGAGCAAAGAGCGCCATAAGGAGACGCATGAAAAGGAAGAGATTAAAATGCCACTACGATCAAGCCTTAATGTCTCCAATTTTTAACTCGTGGTTACGCGAAACTTACCTTTTCGGTCTTCACACTAACATATACGAACTTCCTATGCAAAAAAAAAGGTTAAATAAGCACACACAAACCCATTCTAAAAAAAAAGAAAACAGGAGAGGAAGAGACAACCTGACCTGACTGGGAGAAGGGCTATACTCCTTTTTCAGGTTGACGAATCGAATCGAATCCGAATATGAAAAGGAGTTTTGATTTGAAACAGAAAGAAAATGAACGCTCAAGGGAATGCAAAAGGAATACAAAAGGATTATATAGGTGTCTCAAATATTACGGTCAAAAGATGGGAGGAATTAAAGCCAACCAGAAAATCGAGCCGTTTAGTAGTTGGGTGAAAAATAATTACAGCACAGTAAAATGAAATAGTATGCGTTTTTGGCGCGACTTTTTGAAGAAACATCATCAGGTGACATTCATTACGTGACAGGGTCCTGCAATCGCCCTATTAAACTTTTCAAAGAGGGAAAACGGTCTGGCAGATGAATGATCCTTCGAGTTCTATAGCGTGGGCTACCTTTGTTTATTGCGAAGAACGCCTTGGAGCTTTCAATCTGAGTTTGAATTTTCGCTGTTTTGCTTTTGGTCGTTTGACAAAGCCTGAAAACAAAATGTCAAATTAGGCCAGACGGAGAAATGCCAATAGCGAAAGTCTTTCATGACAAAATGCTGGACGAAAAATTCGCTTGAGACGAAATGTCAAATGTCTAGTGACAAAATAACAAGAGGAAATTGATCAAAAAGACAAACTCACTTTGTAATATGGCTCTAAATCACTTTGACTTTTGAACTTTTGACATTCCGTGACTTTGCCTTTTTTTATGTCCGCTCTCGGCCACCGTATTCCGGAGAGGCTCACATCCTTCGAATAAGCTTAATTATCCTTCGAAGAGGCTCAATTATCATCCGAAGAGGCTGATATTTTTTTATCTGCATTTTTTTATCTGAGGTCAGCCATTGGCCAAACATCGGCCTAAAATCTGAATAACATCTACAAAACCTTTTACTTTACCGTATAGAAATACCAAATGGAAGCTGTGATAAGTAATGTGGTTTATTTTATGAAAACACGGGCCGTTTTTAAGTCCTCACTACCCAAGATTTACTTTGAGTGATTTTGACCCATACTAATATTACGGTACTATCCAAGTAATCTTGGCAAAATCCACCAATGTCTGGTGGCCCCACGCCTGGTGGTCCCTGACCCAGTTTCTCCGCGGCAATACAACCTGTGATTACGAAACTTGGCAGGGATGTAGTCACGTGCCCTGTCAGTCACCCCGATGATTTTGAGTGTATGACGTCACATATCACGTGACTTGCTAAGATAACATCGCCAGTTTTTGAAATAAACCTTTTTTTGACGTCATTCATACTTTTATTGTAATCATTTTGCTATATACTGCTATGATAACCATGTATTTTCCCAGGAAACGCGTTTTTTTATCTTATGGAACATCGTGATTTACTACACTTTATTTACGGATACTCGTGAAACTGAAATATCCATTTTAGAATCCTACCCCCATCCCCTTACGACCTTGAATTTGTTGTTTCAAAAATTAGAATCTATAAAACGCCTCATAATTGCACCACTAATATAACATCTCATGTGACCAAACAATCTAAGAGTCATGTTCGCATCAACAAATAAGGAATCGTCTGAGTTGCTATAAAGGTTGTYGGYTGCGTTATTTGTCGCTRCCAGTCTGGACTGATACCTATCTTCCACCACGTCRTMTACAACTGAAGCGAGATCTTCRGACGCTTGWATTCTAGCATATAGAGGAAGCTTTATGTCCTCTTCTAATGAGTTTAATAAAGCAGCTCCWACTTTCCCTCCTTTTCCTAGGTATTTTGGTAGTTGCTTAGAAATGTTGGTTGCTGCTGCTAATATATCATCAATGGTGCCTTCGCTTTCTAGCATGTCACAAAAAGCCAAAATTTTGTCTTCAAGAGAAGTCTTTTCCATCCTTTCAAGAAAGGTCAAAAGGGCATTATGTCATTTTTAGTTTGTCTATTCTTTGTCAAACGTCGATCTTCTCATAAACGGAACACATCGAAAACAATTAATGATAACGGTCTTCTTTGATGTCAGTAGGTTCGACTCATGATCGAGGTTTGAACTAAATTCAAAATATGGAAAGGAAAAAAAAGGTTTAAAAATGATATCTTGTGAACTTTGCAACTTTTCATATTCGCCGGCATATTTAAGGCTTAGCATGTTCAACTTGCTTGTGGTATCACAAAACTTATGCTCCTCAAAAAACTCATGGAGCCGTCATTTCAATATATACATTCTGAGAAGATGTAAGTTTGTGATTTGTATATCAAGAAACTATGGTTACCTTTTTATTCTAATTTAGTTTAATACTTTTTCATGATCACTTCCACTTGTCGGCTGCTTGAAGAGATTGAAGTCGTCATTTCATTGTTATTATTATTATTATTATTGTTATTATTATTATCATTGTTATTGTTATTGTTATTATTATTGTTATTATCATTATTGTTATTATTATTAGTAGTAGTGTTATTATGCAGTACTAAAACGTATAGATGCAAAAAATCTATGACCTGTATATTGCGCACAGCGTAACCTGTACAGTCTAAAAGGAAACTAACTACAATAAATTTAAATAGATGTCCCTATAAAATCATACATATACATATACATATACACATACATATACACATACACAGGATCGCTAAAACTTTAACATTCATTGATATATATTTATATTAAAATGAATGGTCTGAACCCAGGTGAATGGATATTTTTCGAAGTAACATATTTCTCGAAGAGATAATATTTATATTATGATCATCCGGGTGGATGTAATCCTTAGAAGGACTGTTTGATGTGACTGACGTTTCGACAACCTGTGCGGAAGTCATCTTCAGAGTCAAGTGAAGAAAAAAGTCAGATATGGGTCTTATTTATACTGCCACAATAAACAATAGAACAATAGGTGAAGTTAAGAGATGATTCGCGTCGCTAACTTAGTTGGCGTAAAAGTTTGAGCTGAATCCACTCAACCGCTCAATTAAACTACCCACGCCATATAATAGGCTATTAAACAAAGCTGAAATGACGCCAATTAAGTTAGCGACGCGAATCATTTTAGTCCCATCTATGTTTAGCGACGCGAATCATCTATCAGGTTGTCGAAACGTCACATCAAACGTTCTAAGGATTACATCCACCCGGATGATCATAATATAAATATTATCTCTTCGAGAAATATTGTTACTTCGAAAAATATATATTTATATATATATGTCCCCTTTTTTCTATTGTATTTCCACGATTCCTTTGTACCGCTGGGAGGACAGGATCACAAAGGACCATGAAATAGTCAGTAGCCTAATTGACCTTATTATTTCCTTTTGTTTCTTTTTCACGGGTAAACGGTACCCCAGTTTCTGAAATGACAAAGCTATGAGAATTAAGGTAATAATAAGGTAGAATTAGGCTACTGACTATTTCATGCTCCTTTGTGCTCCTGCGATATGCTGATCCAACCAAGTATATAGTATATAACTATATAGGGTGCGTTATGGGTAATAGACCAACGCTTTGGTACTTAGCTTTGAACCCGCGGGCTGGCCTACCGAGTATGAACAGCGCTTAAGTCAAGAGGCGGGAACTATGTGTTCATTTTTTAATACCTCTACACTATTAGGAAAAACTGTCATATTGTAAACGGTTTTATTGATGTAAAGTGAAACATTGGAAGTTTTGCAATGGTCGAGTTTAAAATCAGTTSTGAAATCGCTCTTCTTGGAAGTTTCGGTTGAAGTGAGCTCAATAGGCCATTTGCATTATGGCGTCATTTACTACCACTACCAGACTCCATTGCACACTGTCTTTTGTTCTTTTCATCCTAAGCACACTCTTAACGCTATTCCGTTCTCGCAATTTCTT